AGAGCTTGCATAGCCCAGAGCTGCCAGGCAGTCGGAGGAAATGCTAAGTGACTTTCAGAATGATGAATCCAAACTTCACAATATTTACCGTTTGTGTCAGATGGCAGACTCTTGCATTAGTTTCCTCTCAACTGAAAAGTTAATTTAGGAGAAAAAAATGAATCAATAAAAACCAATGTCAGATACCAAATCAATACTGGGAATGTAGGAACAGACTGAAAATTGAGCTTGGCCTCACAGTGCAAGCAAAATATTTGAAAATTGTTTCTCGTTATTACTTACCTGCTTAGAGCTGTATTCTGAACTCTGTTCCCTTTAGAAGAGCTGGAGATATGACAAGGCCTGTATAGGGAATTTTCTTGTCACATCACATTTTCTTGTATAGGGAATTTTCTTGTCACATCTTCAGCTCTAACTGTGGGCATTGCCAAGGTCAGAACTGGATCTTGGTGGGTAAGTGAAGATTGAGAGTTTTATGTAAAACAGTATTACTGGTTTTTTAAGCCTATGAATTGGTAAAGAACTTCCTCCTCCTCTCCTCTCCTATTCCCTTCCCTTCTTTATACTGTCACATCAACGGATTTAATAGGTGCAAAATTGTTCTTCATTCTGTTTTCCTACTTTCTAGGAATTTGCTAGTGTTTTCTTTCCTTTGCTTTATTATCCACATCAGCCAATGACATGTTAGTGACTTGCACATGGAATATTTTAATGAGCTTTAGATAGTTGCTGAGAATTGTTATCCGTACATCTCAAAATTCATTGCAAAGGTAGGTGAACATTCCTAGTTGCATTTTACAGTTAGCACAGAGAGGCTGAGAGGCTGACCACAGGCACAGATTTTTGTCCCCTGAAGTAGTGTTTTATGCCGCTTTGGTCCTTGTATAGTATAAACTTCTTCCAGAAACCAATTACATGAAAATAATGTTTGTCAGGCTTAAATAATCCTTTTCCCAAGGAGAGGAATTATATGCATAGTGTAAGGGTTCATATAGGTCAAGTCTTGTTTAAACATACACATTGACAAATGTTAATGTTGGAAGATGATAAAATTAAGGAAGTGCACCTTGGACGTTCAGGGGAAAGCAGTGAGGTCTCTCCAGTGTAGTTCAGTGTCAGAGGGACACTGACTCCTATTTTTTCTCTCTATTCGAGATATTACAGTTTCTTTGTAATGTACAGACAGCACAATTTCTCTGTAGGAATGCTTCCAATAAGTTTGGAAACAAGTGTATACGAAACCATTTTGCCAGGCAGCAACATATCAAGATGAGAGTGGGCAGTGCTTTTGCCTCGCTGTCAGATTGCTTTCCCAAATATGAGCTTAGTGAACTCTGGTATTGTGTCACAGAGCTCTCTCTTTACTTGGAGAGAAGGGCTTTTATTTCTTAAGCCTGACTGCTTCTCTTGAATAGAGAAAAAATGTTTATGGAGGATTTCCCCTGAACATGTGGGCCTGTGTCTGCCTGTTTTTTCAGCTGGAAAATTCATTTCACAAGACAAATAATTGAGCTGTAGGCTAACTGGGAGAGCAAGCAGATGTGCTTCCTGCAGTTGGAACATTTTTTTGTCTTTTCCCATTCTTCACTCTGTCATCTGTCTCCAGTAACACAGTGATGAAAATACTCTTCCTCTCCTGTGCAGAAAAGGTCTCATATTGCTCCAAAGCCATATGCTTTGCCTTCCCTTCTTTGACGTTTCACAAAAGCTCTAAGTTTGAAATACTTCAGAGACATCCAAATAATTGCTGTTAGGCAAAGGTTTGAAGCTTGATGAAATCACTGGGGCTGTTCATAAGGTAAAAATGATTTTACATGCTCGAACACTTTGCTCAGACAGATCCTATATGAAGGCCTTCACTATAGACGAAGTATTGTAACCCTTACGACAGATATGTTTCATCTCAAAATGTTGTAATAGGATTTTTTAGATAATAGACCATCCTGGTTCACTTTGGAGATATATTCTTTGTTATGCAACATAACATTAGCAGCTGACATGTTTTCTCCCAGCACTTGAAAACAACGCCCTGAAAGAAAATAGTAATGATCTTAACCATATTTAATAACACATTACCTATACAAATCTGGATTTACAAATGCCAATAGATACTTTCATGTACAAACATATATTTTAGTCCTGCAGTAAGAGGCATGAATAATATGTAGTCTTTAGAGGTCAGGGTGTGAAAGCTTCACCTTATCAATCTGCCTGAAACCAGAGGAGGGTAGAACATTTGAAGTAGAAATCAGTAGGACTCTGGGAGATGTTATGACGGGAACAAGACAAGTATTTCAGTAACAAGGTAGGACTATTTTGCTATAAAATTGACTATTTGTAAATGAAACTAATTAGAACATTTTCAAAAAAGGGTTTTAATATATTCTTAGGGATAAATTTTAAATATATCAGTAATTAGTCAACTGCATCTTCGTGCACTTTTTAGTGATTTTTTTAACTTTTATTTTACTATCAGACTTAAAGGAGAAACTATTGCTCTCTTTCAAGAGAGAGCGAGACAATCTCTGATCAGAATTTCTCTAATCATGAGTGTAATACAAAACACCAGCGTTACTGCATAGGCAGTTTTGTAGTTAATGCATCGGGTTGCTCCCTGCAGTATTTTCATTTGTATTAAGTTCCCTCTTTTTTTCTCCCCTTAAATGTTCTCAAAAGATTCTCAGTCTTGCTTATGTAACACCTGTACCTACAAGATTGGACAACAACAAACACCACACGAATCTGGATATCTCTCTCAGTGCTGTGTCCACATGTATATGTTTGAAGACAGATGTTTGCCCTGGGCCTTTTTCTATTAAGATAATTCTCTGTACAGTTAATGATTTTCATTTTTAGTTCTGTGTGCACCATTACTTGATAGGATTTAGTCAACTGTGGAAATCAGACAGTGCCATTTTTGTTAATTATTCAATTTGTACATAAATTTTCCTTCAAGCAGTGACTGTTATTTTTCACAGGTACAATGGGAATGCATTAACCCTAAGTACAAAGCAAAGAAGAAGAATTACAAGAACTCAGGCATCGTCATCCTTAACCAGTGCAAGGTAAATACATGTTTTGCTCTTTGGCTGTTTCTTTACTAAGCCCTCAGCGATATATTTTAATGGTGTTTGTAGACAACAAAGTGGAACTGCCTGTAGAATAGTGATGGAAACTGATCCACTACAAAAAGTAAAGCCAAGGACTTGAATCTCAAAAGTAAGCTGACTGTCCCCAACTTCCGTCCTTCATTTCTCTTGCTGTATCCCTGCTGTTGTGCAATGGAGTAGGCAGTACTCAACTCTTACACCTACAGGCTTGCCAGTTGGCCTTTTGTGTGTTTCCCTTCTAATCCTTCCATCATTTCTACAAAATTGTTCCTCCTAAACCAATAGCAAATTTTCCACTGACTTCCCACTGAGAAGCAGAGTTTGGTTCTACTTTTGATGTGAATTTTCCTTTCTGTAGTTATAGAATTTTTATGTTTTTTCTGTTTACATTTTTGTTTCTGTCTCAAACTATATTTAACACTTTCTTCCTTTACCTTATTTTCAGTCCTTTCCCTCCTTCCAATTTACTTTTTTCAGGCAGTTCTCTGATGTTTTAGCAGTACACAGCTAATCTGAATGTCTTGCTTTCTTGTCTGCAGATCCACAAGATGCATTCTTTCTTAGATTATATCATGGGAGGCTGCCAAATACAGTTTACAGTAAGTGTCTTAGTTCTCTAACTTGTTTTAAAGAAAGGGAATCTCCTTAGATACTGATTCATTACTTTCACAAAGAAATGATTCTTACATGCCATTCCTTGGTAAATTAGTAAAGTATTCTTGCAAAATGTATTAAGCCCGGAAAATAAAACTATGCTAATGCAGTAAGATTTTTCTTGCACATGCTGATTTACTTTTATGTTTTGCAGCAATGACAATCATGTTGCAAAAAGTAAAGACAACTTCATTCAGGGGTGACAAGTTAAGCTGGCGTAGTCCCACCAATTCCATCTGAGCTACACCCAGTCCCAAAAACTGGAGAACTGAATTAGCCCCTGTGACAGTGCTGACTGGCCTTTGGCTTTTGAGCCTCAGTTTGTTCACAAGAATTTCAAATAAATTTCCTTGCTGGGACTGTGTCACGGGGTGGGATTTCATTTCACTTGCCTTTAGCTACTTAAATATTAGATGTCCTGTTCATCAATCCTGTGGGCCAGTCTTCCTTTCCAGAATGAGTCCTCCATTGAAGCAAGTTGTTTTCCCTCTAATGGTGCCAAACAGAAAGTTACAGGCAGAGAGTTAGTCCAGCCAGGGACCTCTCTCCGTCAGTCTGGCTTAAATGCTAGGGTAAACGCTGATGTTTTATACCTCAGCTTAACTACCAGCACTGTAGATGGCACTACAGGGGGACAAGGTTGTAACTTAGTGTGAATTTAGAAGCTATTCCGTTCAAGGAACAGGGGATAAAATGATTTGCGGAGCTCTGCATAAACAGAAGTACAGTATTTTGCATTTCCAAATAATCATTTTTAGAAACATTTAATGCTGTGTGGTTTTGATGGGGTTTTTTCTTTTTTTTTCCTTTTTTTTTTTTTTTTGGTATTTTGAATCTGGGAAATAAAGTAAAGTAAAATAAAATAAAATAATATATCAGTATTTCCCACAGCATAGGAGTATAGATTTTGGTTCAGTTCCAGCCTCGTTTTTGTGACTTATAATTTCATGCCAGTTACAAGGGTAAAATCTAATGCTCCCAGGGTAGTATTCTTCTTCTGGAGATCTTTTCTTTTCCTGTAGCACCCTGCCCTGTTTCTGCTCCCAGGTATCAAGTATCAGACATTGGATGCTACTGAAATTTTGCATTTCACTTCTTCCACTTCATTTTCCAAAAAGATTTAACAGAAAAAGAATGGGGTTTTTTGCCCCAACAGAAAGTTCCAGCAACAGCAGCGGCTCTAGGCAGTAGTGGATTGTCTTCTATGTATGAATCAGCTTTTTGAGGTGTAAAACATGCACTTCGCCAGTACACTGCACGAACTCATTGGATAACACCCAGAACTGAGGACCCTGTTTCTGATTTTGAAGGGAATACCTGCTGTAGTGGACAAAGATCTTTATAGTTGTCTTCTTTCAAGCAAAGCATCCTGTGTAATTATCTCTCCGCCTTACCCGGCTTCTTCTTCTGTTATCCCCACATGCCTGCAATGCCCATTTCTCCTCCAAATCTGAAACTCGCCAATCCCTGGAAACCCCTTTAATTTCTCTTTCCTGACGTTTCCACCTTAAGAATATAACTGCAAGAGCTCAATTATCAAATGTGTTCAAGGTCATTAGCAGAAAGTAAAAAAAGCCTTTCTAACCAGGGCAGGTGCTTAAGTAAATGCAAAGACTAGTTAGTATGCATTTTCCAGAAGTCTAGCACAAGCACAGGAGCATTGTAACCATTAGAAAGTGTCTAGGGATGTACATATTACTATGTTACAGCTGTGCTTTTCAAACTCTTTTTGATTCCTCCTAAATGTTTTCCAGTGGAAGCACAAGTCCTTACACAGAACACTGAGGGGTCGTGGCAGTTTGCTTCCTTTTTATTTGCTTCTCGCAGATTTCCTATTTAGTAAGCTGTGAACCACGAGTTGAAAACTACTGTGTTAAAATGGATTTCTTGATATATTTGATTGATAGTATTGCTTCTACTATATTTTACTATTTTAATATTTCATTTTGCTGAAATGAAACAAAACCATCCATAATAGGAAATTTAGGTAAACTCATCTGCAAGGACGGGCAGTGAGGAAATAAAGGAACTGCAGAGATCCCTGAATTACTGCTGACCTCAGTGGTAAATCCACCAGCTAAAGAACTGTGTAAACTCATCACTATCAGTTTTCAACCTACATGGACTGAGGGGAAGCTGTTGTGGATGTCTCTGTGCCTGTAGCTCTGTTCATGCATAACCTAGTGGTTCTACTTAAAGAATGTCACAAGCTGACTGTCTGCATATTTTACTTCCTCCTACCTCAGTTGCACCAGTCCCCAGTGCTGATAGCACAGACTGGTTGTGAGATGCGCTGCTGTTTCCAGAAATGTATCAGAGATTCTCCAGTGGGCACTGAAGCAAAAGGCTGCAGCCTACAAGGGGAATACTCAATGCTCCCTTGCTTTCTGCACACATCATATAATCTCCTTTTCACATAGTTCTAATCTGCTTAATTCAGACCACTGAAGTAGAGGGGGCCTATTCCTTCTACCTTCCCAGATTTCCATTTCTTTTAACTGGAATGGATCTGGAATTGTTTGAAAGTCTCCTGGTGCATGTATTGTTGCTGTTGTCTTAATATTAATGACGTTTCTATTGAGTTCATGCTGCGTACAGGCAGTACGATACAACTGTGATTTGAAAGGGCACTTGCTGAGGGAGGGAAACTGGGATGCTAAGCATACATTTGATAACAAAAAGCTGTAGTATGATGTACCTGCTAATTTAAGGCACTAATGAAGGCTTTGGTAACATCATGCTGTGTGTTCTTGGGATACTTTGTACATCTATTGTAGGAACACAGTTTGTAGTTAGAAAGAATGTCGCTGAAAAACAGAAGTAAACTTTTCCTTCACTTTAAAACCATTTATTAAGAAGCTTTCATCTACAGACATCAATAATGCCGATTCCAGTTTGATACTTTTATGCACTGCTTTTTGCAAACCACTGTATCTCTTATCAGACAGTGTTCCCTGCTGCAGAAGAAATGTTCAGAAGTTGGCAGTGCAAATGGGTCTGTAGTCAGAAGACATTTTCATCACTTTACGGAATACAGCAGAAAGGGTGTGTAACATGCATAAAAGGAACTGTAATAGAAAGATATATTGGACAGATTCTCTCTTAGGCAGGTCACGGTATTGGACAGGCTGATTCGCTGCTGCTGGATCTAGCAGGAGTTCTGAGCTATGTAGGATGTTTTCAGTGCAATGAAAATCGCCCTTTTACAAGGCTGAGGAAAAAAAGTGCTAAGAGTGTAGTTATTGCTATGTTATGTTCTTATTTAGCTGTGGGAAGATGACTGGTACATTTGAACTGATACATTTAAAGATACACTGATAAAAATCAAATGTACGCACTGTAAAAAAGATTCTTACTTGCTGCCCACAAGATTAGCTCAGTTTTGATATTAGCCTAGCTTTTGTGATATGCTGGTTTTACAAATCCTTATCCTACTTATTTGCACAAGATCTTGGTACTGCTGGGTAATGCTAAAAGAGCAGAACTTTGCGTTGTTATTTTGGAATTGTGACAAGTAACAGTGAACATCTTTCTTAAAAGTCCTTCCCTCGGGAATCAAACAGATTTGGATCAAAGTGAAGTACAGTGCATCCGAGTACAAATATTCATACAGGCTTCATCATAGGAAATTAGGATATTTTGTCCTTATCAGCAGATCTCTACTACAAGGACCATTTCCAAAAAACAAGCTTGTTTTGGGGAGGGTTTTTTTCTTTCCCAAACACTAGCCACAGACTTTTTTCCAAGCTCATGAAACCCACTGCTTATTCCTACACTCTGCTCTTGTTTTCAGTTAAAAAGCATTTAACAGGCACAAAGGAAGATTTGTCCAGTTCTGTCTGATGTGTCGCTCCAGCCTCATTAATGTCTGTTTTGGGGTTATCAGTGAAAACAGCCGCTTTTAGGAATGCCCTCTGTTTCCCTATCAGTGAAAATCTTGCACTTCCTATAATCAGAACAAAAAACTAAAGTTAAATTAATACCAGAGAAAATACGCATCTTTTTAAGAAAATACGCACAACTTGGCTAAGATTTTTTGAAAATAAGTGTCCCAAAACTAAGCTAATCCACACAAGGATCTATGGATTTACCTTAGGTTTCACAAACCACTAGTGTTTCTTTCTTCCTCAGTTACGTACATGCATGCAAGTGAGAACATGAGAGGTATCCCATTAATTTATTCAAGTTAAATCAAGCTGTCATTTGCGGAAAAAGATCTATGTGGAAAACAGACTCACTGCTTCAGTGCATGAACAGTGAGTAGGGAAGCGGAGGTGAAAGATTACTTTATTTGCAAGCCAAATCAAGCTCATATCTCCTGACTGAAATGTGGTGGGGTGTGGGGGGTTCATAGTTGATGAAGGCGATGAAGAGATTTCCAAGCTAACTAGAGCCCAGTGAAAAATATTTTTCTTCAGCCAAGAGTTAAAGGTGGAAAATCAGAGATGGTGGGGAAAAGCCATGTTGGGTTGACCCAGTATGATTTCTTGCTTTTAGTTTTTAGCAACAAAAAATAAGTTTCAGGAGGACCGTGCTGTTTTTTTTAAGGGAGAATGAAAATGTCATGTTTCATTTGCATTTTATAGCTGCGTAAAATAGTCTTCCCTGTGCCAAGCAGAGGCTCCAGCTGGGGAAGCTGCACATTTGCAGAGGCAAGCTGGGACTTCAAAGTTCTTTTTGCAGCCTTCAGCAAAGCCCTTACCTGTCAACTGCCTTGTAAAAACTGAAAATTGAACTCTGTGCATTTGTATCTATTGAAGATCCAGGTATAAGGGTTTTTTGGAGGAAGAGGTCATTGGACAGAATCATAAGGAAGTTCATAAATGGCTTTGTTCCCTCTATGAGACCCTCTGGGTTTTGTGTTGCTCTTTTTAGGAATTCCCAGAAAGCAGCATCAAAAATTCGGAAGAGGACCTTCTGGTCCATGACAGTCATATCACAGAAGGATGCATGCCAGAGTATATCTTCAGTGAGATGTATAAAGAGCATTTCAAAAGGGAGAAATGAATTTTAAGAGGATTCATTAGTATTTGCTTTTGCATTGAATGCTTCCCACAATCTTCTCTAAGCCTTTTCAACACAAATATCTGTGCAGGATTCAAGCTTTATTTTTGCCCTGCAGCTCACCTTTAAGCTTGCTATCATCTATGAAATTGGGAAGGTTAATTATTTAGTGCTTAGGTGTTTGAAGATAAAAAATACCAGACAGGCATTATCTACTATTATTACTACAGCTAGAGTAATGTTTAAAATAGCTAAGAAATGTTCCGAACTGGAGTTTTAATTTATAGTTTTAGTATGACTTTTAACTCTCTTGGGACATTTTTGCTGCACAGCTTTTATGTCCTGAACATCACCTGAGCTAGAATAATTTAATTAAGTATGAGAACCTAGAGATAGTTAATTTGATTAATCTGCATTAGAACATAATTTTCCGCATAGAATCATAATGCAGTTCATTTTTTTCCTAATTATGCCATTTTAGTTTTATTATCTCTTATTTTATAAGTTGTAATTTACTTTTAGACATATTTATCAATACTATCCTAATTCAAGTTTGATGAAGTACGCTGTAAAATGACCTTTGCTTTAAGGCTGCAATCTCTGCAGAAAACTGTTTCTGGTAAAGATACATGGTTGGTGTGGGTACACTTATGCCCAGAAGAGCTCCACGACACACTGGCTTTTCTTCTTTTCCAGGTAGCTATAGATTTCACTGCATCAAATGGTGATCCTAGGAACAGCTGCTCACTGCACTACATCCACCCCTATCAACCCAATGAGTACTTGAAAGCATTGGTAGCTGTTGGGGAGATTTGCCAAGACTATGACAGGTAAATAACCACATTTGGTAACAGAGTTGTCTTTAGAAAGTGTTTTCACAGTGTGCAATCAATGACTGCCTGCTGCTGGCTGCAGTAGCTCTGTATTTAGTCACTTAAGAGAAATGACTGCACGTCAGAAAGATTAGCGTACCTTAACACGCTTTTGAGAGTGACAGTGAGTTTAGATCAGCTTCATGGTAATGAAAGGCCTGGTTCTTGGCTGTTTGGCAGATATGTGTGTTAAGTTTCAGGTTTGTATTCACATGCCAAAATTGCATGTTTGAGTGGATTTTTCATTTTTGTTAAACTTAAAGCCTGTTTGCAGATGCTGATAGCATCCTTTCTGATACACTTGGGAGTCTGGTTCTGTCCCATCCTACAGAAAAGTGTTCCCAAGATTTTGTGTTTGAAACTGAATTTGTAGTTGCCTAAACTGCTTAGTGGCCGTGTCTATTGTTAGAAGTAAATGTGTGGTCTTCAGTGTTCTCCTGGCCTGTTGAATGTTACAGTCTCTTCTAAAATAAATATTAAAAGATAGTGATAATGTGTGCATACAACATGCCTTTAAATAAATAAACAAATGCAAGTAACTGGGCCAAATATGCTTTGATTACATTATGTACTTCTGTTGCTTTCAGATAGGCTGCCTGCTTCTATCAAATTAATTGCCCATTATTAATCTAATTACCCAGTGCATTTCCTTTAAATGTTCTTTCTTTGTTGGTGAGGCATAGTATCTTACACAATTATTCTTTCTAACCTTTGCACATGTAAGAGACATCCACCCACCACTTTGCCATATGTAAATACCAGATCTCAAAAAACCAATGGTATTTTCAGTCAAATTTGAATTATACTTTCTGTATAAAATGTGGAGTGACTTAATACTGTGGTTTGCATGTTACATGTCGCATATACCAATTAGCTTGCTCAGAGGCACTTCCATTTGCATGGTAATGAAATGTCTTCTCAAAGAAGAACAAGGAAAATACTGCCCTGATACAATTTCAATAAGAATTCGATGGTCAAACTTAGTCAATGAGTCTAAGAAAATTAATATTTTATTGTAAGTGAGCTGATAATTCCTTAGTGATTATCCAGTAATTTAATAATTACTAGCAATAATTCAGTGGGTAAATATCCTTCGAAATAGGGAAAGGAATAAAAAGGGCTGGTTAACGCACACAGATTTTTATATTTTATCACTTAAGGTGTATTTTTTAAGAAAATGAAATAGTTAAGTGGCACAGTCCTTCCTGTACGGAGATATTAATCCCAAATCAGGATTCTCCTCTCAATATAGCATGTTCCAATCAGTACAAAAAATAATGGCCTGTCATTTTTTAAATGCAATCATCAGCATCTTTCAGTTCTATTGTACTGCAGAAAATGCCTATTGATGATAATCAGCACAACTAAGGTTGTATAAGCTATGGACTCGGGCTGAACAAAAGCCAGAATTTCTTTTCCCAGGGAAACGTTACCTTTCTGGCATGTGTTTGACCTATACACGCTCTCAAGTTGTGACACTATAAATACATTCCCATGGGCAAGTTGATTCAACATGGTCAATGCTTTCTGGTCCGAATGTCAAGTGAGGACCTTTTCTTTATACTTGCACATTTTGAATCCAGCAAACTGGAAATGAAAACTTAAAACTTCTCTAAGAAGAAAAGGAATTACGAGGCGCAAACCTTCACACAAAATAATCTACAGGTTCTATATAGGAGTTCTTTTTGTGTTTAGTTGCAGTCTTGAGATGTATGAGCATATATGACCTATAAAGCAAATCTTCTGTATATAAACTTTAAAAAAAAGAGTTTCAAATTCATTTAAAAATCCAGAATGGATTTTTATGGCACGGATCCATAACTGGTCCAGTGAGCTCAGTTGTGCTTCAAATACTAGAGCAGGATTTCTGTTTCCAGGTTAAGATCAGCCAGAAGTGAAAAGAGAGGGACTTGCTGAACCTAAGGGCTGTTTAGAGCCAGTATCATCATTTGCATAGGGGCATGTCTTTAGTAAGATTAAAATATGAGCCCACAAAGATGGCAGTGCTCTTACCTGAAGTTTTATAGTTTGGACCCATCAATTATCTCAAATAGGCAGAACTGGCTGAATCCAAACCAAGGAAAGTGGAGTGGTTTTCTTTGGGTCTCGGGATTAATGTATTTACATCAAATGAAAGAAGAGTTGGAGTAAAGTAAAATCTGTTGTGTGCAATGTTTTTTGCATTCCAAGAGCACAACTGTTGAATGCTAAGTACTTTTGCTACATTTATATACCAAAAGACTGCTTTTTTATATTTGTAACAAAAAAAAAAAAAAGCCTATAGCTATTACTTAAAATACTTCTGTAATTAGAAACATTCAAATTTATTTGTAATTTGGGAGGAATTGGATTGGCAAGTAATATATAGACAGACTACACTCAAAATCCAAAATTTTCTTTTATATACTCTAGTTAGTTCTGTCAATCAAGCCGTATCTTCTCATAATCTAGGTTTCTGTACATATCGGCCTAATATAATGTATCCCTAAGTAATTAATGCTCCAAATTAAGTGCTGCCTCACATCCCTTGATACAGTGGAATAATCCCTGCTCATCCAAAAGCCTGTTTATCTGTATGGTTCAGAGATTCCTGAAACAGTTAAATGAATAGCACTGTTCTGCGTAGTTAAGCGTGAAAGAATAAGATTCATTCTTTCATCAGCAATATTCAGAGAATGAGAAATAGACTTTGATTATTGTCCTGATTGTAGAAATGCTGCAGTCCTATAGGAATAGGCCAATCTGATAATGGCATGTGAAATGGAAGAGCTGTTCACCTGCACAAAAGACTTAATACTTTATCTATATGGTGGAATTGTTTCAGGCTATAACAACATTTGTCATAAGAGAGGAGATAAAGTTTGTATGTCATATAATCAGTGGCTAAGCAACACAGCAATGGACCATAAAGGAAGGAGAAACATTCATTAGTTTTAAGGAATTAAGCTCTAAAATGTACTTAGAAATACTGGAAAGGGGAAAACACATTAAAAACTTATTATTGAAAATATTTGGTAAAATAAGCAGACAGCTGCATGCAGAAGAATTTATTTTAAGATAAATGACTCATGAATGTTTAAAGATGACCTCCTGAAGCAATAAGTGAGAAATATATATTTCCATTTAAACATTTCCACAAGCTTTCTTTTATATTAAAAATTATATCACTGGTATAATTTACCTTAAAATCGAGCAAGTCTACTCCACCTTTTTGTAGCATAGAGAAACAGATGAAAATGATGAAAAATCATGGGGCACTGAAGTGTTTAGTATTAAAAGAACCTGCTTCTGTATCATTCCATATTTATTCTTTACCTCAGTAATTTCAGTGTTGAGTTCTCTGGATCAGAAGTTAAATCAAGTGGTTTCTGACGACTGGTGATAGCAGCCTAACCAGGATCCTGAAAAATCAGTTGATCACTACCAAATGTGTGTATATTCCCTCTACGTGTTTTGAACAATGAGTTAGCAAGTGTACTTGAGGCAGATGAGGTTCTATCTAGCTCTCTGTGCACTATGGCTGGCTTAGGACTTCTAACCTTCACCAACTCTGAACAGTGGTTTTGGCCACCCTTTTGTTTTGGAGCCTGGTGGAGACCCCTTCAAGAGAGTGCTGTTTTCAAAGGGTAGATGGCAGGTGTCTTTCCTGGGTGAATACCCAGACACGAGGAAAGACAAACTCATTCATCAGTTGAAGTATCAGACCTATGAACCAGAATCTTGTGGAAGCCATGAAACTCTAAGTTATATAGTAAAAATTTTGAATGCGTCCTGTTCTCCATGGCAACTGTTCCCTAAATACTTTTAATTTATATCACAAAACTGCCCCCTGCTCAGCATGGCACAACACTTTCTCGTAAGCCAGAGGAGCCTGAGGCTAAACTGGGGAATCAGGGAATGTTTCCTTTCCCCTGTGTCCCAGCATAAGGTCTGGCCATGTCCAGACTGCAAGTCAGGACCTGACCTACCTCTTCTCCCTTTCCCTTCGCACATCCTGGCTTCCATCAAAAGGAAACAGAGGCATGTGGACAGGGAGGAGCTCCCGTGCTCTGCAGGGGGATGTACCGTCTGAATAACGGCGGGGAGACAGCGTCTGCGAGCCGCACAGCGCAACACAGCTGCCTTGTGTAGGCGAGAAACAGCACCCAAATAGTACTGGGATGTGCCCTCAGCACATATACGTGCACACTGACAAGTGTGTTTCCATTATTATAATCTGGAAACATCTGTGAAAACTAGTATCTACAGATAAAACAAGTACTTTTCCCAAGATACATGCAGGTGTGCTGTGAATCTCTCATGTAAGCACCTAGAGTTATATACCTAGACACACACATATATATGTATATATAAGTAGAGTTTTACTTGTGTGTGTATAAATACATAGGTATGCATATAATATATAGGTATTATATGTACTTATATATGTATAACATGTATGGTTAACACTTAACCATGCAGTAAAAAAATTGATTTCTCTTTTATGCTGTTTTATAGCTTCCCTCTCTGCAGAGCAAAGCAATAAGTCACAATAACAACAGTGTACGCAGTTTATTAAAATGGCTGGTCCTTTGATCTTAATGATTTGTTTTACCAGTGCTGGAATACAACCAACTAGCCATGAGTGTAGCTCATCTTTCATTGGGCAGTGATTGCTGTCTCCGGCAAAAGAAAAAGGGCTGGAATGGGACTGTAAATAGCTTGTTGGTAAGGATAAATGCTTTTACGTACACACAATGCTAAAGGCTGAAATAATTCCTAAATGATCTTACATTATTACAGGTTTTAATGATGATATTGTGACTGAAGCCCATGGCAGGGCTTGCAAATCTGCTCCTCACTTTGAAATCTGATTTCTGCAGTTAGTAGCTTTCCTTTCTCTTCTGCTTATTAAGAATCTCGTTATATTACATTAAATATTTATCTTTGCATTAAAACCTCTGTTCTGATTCAGCAAG